TATATATATATAAATTCAAACTCCAACATATTATATTGGATTTTTTCCGGATTTTAAGGGTATTTTTGTTCAGATATGTTTAAATTAACATTTTTTTTCGGATTTTATGGGTATTTTTGTTCAGATATGTAGAAATTGGCTAATTTTCGCTTACTTTTGAAATTGTGGCTAATTTTTAATTAGCAGTTGTAAATTAGGTTATTTCTGATTTTCCCTCTTAATTACTACTCCCTCCGTTTCATATTAAATGAAGTAGTTTGACTCGACACGGAGTTTTAGAAAAAAGAAGAAGACTTTTGAAACTTATGGTTTTAACAGCTTAAGGGGCAAAAAGTATGTAGGTCATGACATTTGTGTGACTATAAAAGCTTCTCATTAAGGGTAAATGAGTAAAATAAAAGAGTTTAAAGTTGAATTATTTTAAATTTAAAAATGTGTCATTTGTTTTGGAACAGTCTAAAAAGGAAAGTAACTCATTCAATATAAAACGGGGATAATTGTTTCGATTGGAAAATCCTTGTCTCTCATAAATTTCATTTAACTTCATTGGGGTGCCGCAAAGGAATACTATGTACTAAACATACGTCTTTTGATCAATCTGTCACTTTGTCGCAGATCACTCAGTCATCTTCAGATTTTTCATCTGTCTTAAAAGTAAAAACGGAAAACGGCCAAAACTACCCTTAGACGGTTTGATTTGATATAAAAATGACTTTCATCCACATATTGAGCCAAACATAGCCCACTGTTATGTTAATGGCTCAAATATGGTCTTATTACTAACAGACTTATCTAAAAGAAATAAAAAAAAGTTAATGAATATCCATGTGTTACTGTTTCATTGGCCTAAGTATAAACCCTTTCTAAATTAAAAAGTAAAAACTACCATAACTTGGGTTTTGATTTACCCGTCCCAATTTTAAATCCTATTAATCCAAACCATATTTTAAAAGACAATGTAACTTCTTCTTCATCGTTAGATTCTGCAAATGGAAGAATTTGTGCCACCACCACAACAACAAAAGTAACAATTAAAACAAGAAAATGTTGAATTTGAGAATGAAATGAAACGGGTATAAAAATAAAATTGGNATTAATTAAAAATATTTTTCAAATAAGTCTGTTAGTTAATAAGGGCATAAGTGAGTCATAAAGATAATGTAGGAACATTTTTGGCTTAATATGTGAACGGAGGGTATTTTTGGCTCAATAGGTGAACGGGGACATTTTTATACCAAATCAAATAGTCTAGGGGCTTTTTGGGGGAGTTTGAAGAAACCATACTGGGTGTTTTTTTTTAAATTTTTTTAGTAAAGATTTAAATTTAGACCAATGGGACGGTGACACGTGAATATTAATTAAAAATATTTTTCAAATAAGTCTGTTAGTTAATAAGGGCATAAGTGAGTCATAAAGAAAATGTAGGGACATTTTTGACTTAATATGTGAACGGAGGATATTTTTGGCTCAATAGGTGAACGGAGGGTATTTTTGGTTCGTTACTCCATAGTCCAACCTCCAGCTTGCATTTTTGGCCAAATTTGCTCTCCGATATTCTTGGAGTCTTTGACTTTTAAAAGTAAAATTTTGAGGTTCATATTAGATCTGTCAAATGGGCCGGTTCGTGGGCATAACCCATTAAAATTGATCTTTTAATCGATCCATGATCCATAAAATTTTAACCAGACCAATCCATTAATTTAAGGGGCCTGGGCCAGGCTATCATATTTTGATCCACTGAACCGAACCTGGCCGAATTGGTAGCTGACCCATGGGTCAACCGGTCCGGACCAGCTCACACACACACACATATATATAGACAAGTGGTAAAAAATCAAATCCAAACATTGAAGAAAGAATATAGTACCAGACACTATCAAGCGTCTTGTCGAAATAGTCGAATTCCATATGTTTTAGACTAGTAGTTATAGAAATAGTCGAATTTCATATGTTTCTCAAGTTTTAATGTTAATGAAATATGGTTTTTCTTTCATTTTTATTCTAACTGGCTTCAAGGACATGTGGTAATTTCAAGTTCGTATTATGGATATAAAGTTTGAAATTCATATCATTTATTAGTTTTTAACTTTTTTTTTTAATTAAATTGGATTCGGCCCATTAGGGCCCGGGGTTAAGGGGTTACGGGTCGGGTCAACATGTTTTGATGAACGGGTTAAATCCGGACCGGCCCCTATGAGAAAGTGAACCGGCCCGACCCGGTTAAAGACCCACGGGCCAAGAGTCAATGGATTCGGGTTCATGTCGGGTCGACCCATTTAACAGGTCTAGTTCATATTTAGTATACAACTAGTTTCTGAACACGTGCGTTGAACGTGAATCCCATGCTCCCATGCTAATAAGTAAAAATATTTTAAAAGAGTATAAAAAATATTAAAATACGTATGTAATGAGTTATGTGAAATTTAAACAAAAAAAAAAGGTAAGCTCAAACTAAAAAATAGTGATTCTAGGGGATTGGTATTTATTATAATTGCAAAGGACAAATCTAGAAATTGCTTTCAAATAAATGTGAATTATCTTTCATTCGCATATTTGTGAAAGTTAAATTCTAGGGAGAAATTTTTCTGTATTAGTATATTTTTTCTAAGTCGATTAGATGGATACTATTTATAATTATATTACTTATATTTTAAAATACACATGTATAGTAATATAAGCAAGATCTCTTTTACTTCCCAAAAATAAGTTGAACAACTTCTGAATTTAGTGTTAGATATTTTTTAGAAATCACAGTTATTTTGGGTTAATTATGACCTAGGGACGTGGTTAAGTCTTGGAAAGCAATCTTCAAGCATTAAAATGTTCTAATAAACTTGTCCCAACAAAGCAACAGAAATCTCCTCAACTAAAATCGGGATACATAAATTGATGAATCACTTATCTGTTTGCAAGTACAAGGAACATAACATATGATTTCAAGATGTCCTCAAATCTATCAAAGAAAATGCAACAAGAAAACTCAGAAAAATAAGAAAATATTTCACTTCCAAATAGTCGGAGTAACCATTACGCAATTAAGAATCATTTTTCTGATACATGGTTACTTGCCCAAATCTTTCCAAAGCGATGTCTTGTCAACTTCATAACAACAAAAGCAGCATTTAAAGTCGAGTATAGCAACAACAACAATGTCCTACATTTTGCATATATGTCACGCACAATGATAATTCCTTTCTGTGCTAAATTCAAAAGCGATCAGATTAGTAAAGTTGATGCAATGATCTTACCGCATGTCTGTAATTAGAACCAAGCTGTTGACTGTCCTGTCATCTTCTAGAGCAGTTACATTGGATGTGAGCTGCTACAACGAATTTACAGTGCCTTTTATTTATTCAAAGTTAATGACAAAAGGTATTGATAATATAAAATTATTCTACCATGAAGATGAACCTGGTGTGTTGTATACTTATTCATTTCCTAAAAAATCTTTACGTTTTGATAGAAATAAAGAGTTATTAATTTGGTTAATGCTGGGAGATTAAAAGGCTTAGATTGTGGTAAAATATTTTTTTAATTAACAGTTCATGACCACAATCATTATTTATCATTTAATAGGATTCCCTAATTTTATTAACCAACTTAATTTTCTGTGCATTTATGCAAAATAATTAATGGCTATATTAGTGGAAACGTAATTGACATATCAAGAGGACGAGAATAATTAATTAGCAGGTGAAAAGATCTTCCCATTAAGTACATACATTAGAATAGTTTGAAAATGACTGATAGTAGCAAATAATTATTTAATGAGAAGTAATTTTATTTGGGCAATTTGGTCATTCAAGCTTTGAAGGATTTTTTAAGTAAAATAACTTCACCTAAAAGTGTTCACACTTATAATATAGTACGATAACGCCTAGCGAAAATATGAATGTTTATTCAAAATTTGCACAAACGACCTCTTTTTAGGCTACTATCTAAATTCTGTCTCCCGTTAGTTCCCAGGGCTAAATTTGTCGGGCAAAATTCAAAAAATAGTCAGATTTACAAGTGATAACTGAAAAATAGCCACAATTTCAAACGTAATCAAAGATAACCATTTTTTATGTAAAGATAAATCTAAACGAAAACACTATTCAAAATCCAGAAAATATTCTATCATGATATACTGGAGTTCCAGCATAATATGCTGGAAGTTCATACACAAGTGCTCCAATCTCTAGTATATTATGTTGGAATTTTCCGTGTGCTGGAATTTCAGCATAATATGCTGGAAGTTCATACACAGGCGCTCCAATCTCCAATATATTATGTTGGAACTTTCTGTGGGCTAGAGTTCCAACATAAAAACTTCCATACAAAGGTGCACCAATCTTCAGTATATTATGCTGAAACTTTCCGTGTTGCAGCAAAATAGTGGCTATCTTTAAATGGCTTTGCAAACGCTGACTATTTTTCAATTACCAGTCCGAAAACTGGCTAGCCCGCGCTATTTTCACAAATTTGTCCGCACATAGACAAATTCATGCAACTACTTTTAAAGGCAAAGGAAACAGAATTCAAGATTAGCATCAGAAGGTCATGCGATGCAAATTATCTGTTTTGTGTTTATACCAGGTTAAGTTCAAAAATAGCCTTTTCGAATTTGTAATTGAAAAGTAACCACAAATTCAAAAGTTATTGAAAAATAGCCAATATTTGGAATCCATGACATTGTTATGGATTTCAAACTTAAAAAGTGAAACTCCATGACTAAATCATGGACGAAATCCAAGACACTACCATGGAGTTTCACCTTTTTTAAGTTCGAAATCCAATTTCAAAAATCAGGACAGTACAAGGACATTGCGTGCCCATAGCAAGATGTAGTCAAATGTACGGGGTCATTGTCCATAGGAAGTTGTACATTCTTATAACTTTGTCAGGACAAATACATATGGATGTTTAGAGGGGATGAAAACAGAATATTCAACAAGTACTATCTCCAGCTTCTCTTACTACAACAAATATAAATAGTTGTGGCCTTTGATTCACACTTTAATTATGTGATTTGCCACAATCAAGATGACAAGAGGCATAACATAAGCATAATAAAGGGTGGTGTTGCTATTTCAAAGATGCAACTTATGTCAAGAGAAACAAATGAATACATTAATATTTTGCAACGGTGAAACTAAAGAGGGTAACCGGAAAACCACCTATCAACCATGGCTAGGCATTGTTCCGGCTTGTATTCTGGAGCTGTATGACCCCCACCCTAAATTAAATGAAGTCAAGAAAACAATGAAAGGAGGATCACGATGTAATGGTTATTGGTTTTAGAGTACTTTTCGCGATAGGGATAGTCCTTACCTTAACAGTTGCATATGTCAGCTCATAATCATTTTGTGAATACTTAACCTTGTATCTACATAAACAAAGTATGAGTAAGATTAAGAACTATTTGTACATGTTCAAGATTTGGGAAGTCAAAATACTTAAAGAGGTCAAGGACCAACCCTGCTACTTGACCGTCAACAAACCAAGGCTCCCAATCATCTGCAATAGGCAGTTTCAAAGAGTCTATCCATTCTTCCGTGCTCGAATGAGGAACAACCATGTCATGGTCACCACTGTCAAAGTCAAACAAATGTCAAATGGTCTCTTTTGGAAACTTTTTTCCAATGATTAGGCTTAACATATAGTACTAATAACTTTACAGCTTATTTTTCTTAAGCCAAAACACCCAAAGGTATAACACAATGAACGACTTTATTCGATATTCAAGATGAGCTATACCTCTTCTTTCTTTTCTTTTTGTTTTACCCTTATCTAGTGAACCCACACATCAACAAATTCATGTCACTAGGTTAGTTCGTTTATTGATGCACAAAACTATTGTTAACACGGTTTTAACACTTCTAACAAATTTGAGAGATTACGTAAAACATAGAGGAATATATTTCTAAGATTAGTGACTAATATGATCTTAAAGTCACTTAGAATGAAGAAGAAGACGAATAGTACCTATAAATTAGAGCTCGACAGGATTTGCTGATGAGATGCCGATGATCATCAATAACACTTTGTACATCATACACATATGATTCAGTTCTCTCTTTACCTCTATAATGCATGCTGTCATTGCATCTCACCCACTCCAATGCTGTTCCCTGATATTTTATGATCATATCACTTCAAAAGTCTTTCTTGCTTTTCTTACTTTCAATTTCTTTTTCTCGGCTGGACCTACTTGAAGACCAGCCGCGGGGAACTGATTATGGACAGTGGGAATAAAAACGTAATTGTATACCTCACGAACGTTTAGTGCTTTCCGGACAGCTTTATCGTTTGCCCAAATGTAAGAGTATATGTAATTTTTTTCCTGTTTTTTGGGTTAAAAGAGTTAACTTCTGCACATTCTTGTATAATAAACCAACAGAATTAACACGATACATGATGCTAATGAGGCCTCATTAGGGGGAGAAACAGAGACTTACTCGACACCATGGTCCTTCAATGGGAAACAGCGACCGCACATTTGTAGGTGTTACTTGGAGAATGCTCATTAAAAATGGCAGGTCACACCAAGGTTCTAAAATATGTGCCCGGCGTATGTTCTTGAGACACTACACACATGCAACAATGGAATATTTAAGTCAAGACATCTTTGAAGATATATTAATATTTTGTAAGTGCTAAACATGCTCCCTTACCTTATCTACTCTCTGAAGATCATTTAGACATGATTCATTATTCGGATCAACGTTCACATAGTTTCCATTGCAATTTGCTTTAGTGGACTACACAATAACATAAAGAAGATTAATTGTAGAATCATAATGAATTGAACGTAATATCTATTTGAACCATAATCAAGAAGCAAATTGTTTTAATTTGAAGACTTCAATTTGTTAGCATAGCTGTAGAGCCAGGGGAGAAGCTGTTTTTTCCTTTCTAGACTGTCATTAACTAGCAGTTAGTTATTGAATGCTAGAGTACAGAGCATAAGCTATTATATCAGTACCTGATAGAGTTTATCTGAAATAAGTCCCATACGATGAGCATATATGACTCTACCATTGGCGTCGATGTAATGATCTGTTAGAGCGTTGCCTTGGATATATCCCTACATTCAATCCAAAACCTCATGTTTGAGGACAGAATTTAAAATGAGAAGTATCAATAATGAGAACAGCAGGAAGAGGTGTCCAACTGAAAGTATTGGAGTTCATACTTTGATATTCACTCGTGGCTTCTCACCAACTTCAATACCTTTAAAGAAAGAAAAAGGTCACAAAACAAGATAACAAAAAGACTGATCCTTAACTCAAGTACAAGATACAATACCATCGTATATTCTGCGAGTAAGCAGTGCGACAAAAATGCCTGAGTAGGAATCACCACCAACATATTGTGGATTCTTGAGATACTTGGGATGATCCATAAGCCACTACAGCACAAGAAGTTCACAGTCTCGTGAATGTGCTTATAACAGTTTCATGCCTTTTGATTACCTTAAGCATTAGAATGGAAGTTCTGAACGATATTGAGACATGAGATGTGAGATAAATACATGCTGTTGGAGAATAAGATTCAAACAGGGTTTTCCACTTTTTTTCATCAGGTGTCAAATCATTAAGTTTCTTCGTTCAAGATTTAGAATACAAAATGGATAATGAATCCCACTACAACGAATCAAGACTTTCAGTCTTTCAGAACTGTATTAGAACCTTTATTCACATTTTTTAACCTAGCAGATCATGGAATTTTGGAATTTAGTCTTACACAGTAATGGAAATTGACCATATGTAAACAGTACTCAAGAGGAACAAAGATAAATACTCTTTCTCCACCTTCCCTATAAAGTAACATTTTCCTTTTTTATAGTGTGCCAGGCAACTAGCTGAGGGTCTTTCGGAAACAGCTTTTCTGCCTTTCTATGGTAGGGGTAAGGCTGCGTACATCTTACCCTCCCAAGATCTCACTTGTGGAAATTCACTAGGTTTGTTGTTGTTGTATAGTGCCAGGCAACTAAAGGATATTACGTTCCAGAGTCAGAAAGGGTGCTTTTATTGGCAACGCCTTGACTTAACAGAAGATCACATTTTATTTAATTCTCTGAAATATTAACTTTTATTAAGAATATGCATTTGTCATTAGCTAGCTAGAGTCTGAAACATCCAAAAAAAGGTAGATGTTTAACCATGTCATGAAGATCACAAGAAGCAATTTTAGCTATACGAATAAACTCGATGAACAACTACCTTCACAAAGGTAGGGGTAAGGTATGTGTACATCCTACCCTGCTCAAATCTCACTTTCTGGGATTACACTAGGTATGTTGTTGTTGTTATTGTAAAAGCTCGAAACATGCAGATAGATTTGCTCAGAACAAATTTCTCTCACCTTTCTAAGGAACTCATAAGTTAGAGTTACAGCCTGAGTATCGTTGCAGTTGTAAGCTTCCGAAGTCTTTGCGTAGGAGTATCCTGAGCCAGCAGGTTGATCTATAAATATTATGTTTGCCACCTAGTAATTAAAAGCAGATAATGCTTGCATAAACTAGTAACAGAGAAAATTCAAGGAAACGGTAAAAAGGTAAGGTTACAGAACCTTGGTCCAAGAATTTGAGTTCAACTCCAATTTCGGGAAATCTCCACTAGAATTTGCATAATCAAACATTAAAGGGCCTGAAAGAAGCATTAAGTGTCATTTTTGCAAGTTATTAACTTCTGAGACACAATAATCCAGAAGAGAAGTATACACTTGTCCAGAACATTTTGTTTTTTCCCCTTACTCTAATAAATGTTTTTTATTAATAGAACTCCAAACCTTGTGGAAAAATATTCAGCATTGTGCATATTTTTGTGTTCCTCTACTGCTGCTTGGTAAAGAAAGAGGTAAGTGCTACATTATTAACTCTTACATGCGAAGACGATCAATCAAAAACTTCAAAATATCCAACTCCTGAGCACAATTTAGACCAAAGAAAAGGCACCAAATTATAGGTAAAACATTTCAGGTGACAAAAGAAACGGAAGTAAGAAAGAAAGGCCGATAATTTCATGAAAAGGAAACGAAAAGAAAACAACGATATAAAAATTTATATAGAAAGGAAGGCCGATAATTTAAAGGGTAAAATAAACATAGCATTTTAAAATCATCGATCAATGACTGAATATTCGGACAGGAGAAGAGAGTATCTACCCATCTTTTCATAATGTACCGGTTTATAGTATTGTACCGTATTATTTTGTTAATACAATATTTGAATAGATTGACTTTTAACATAAGTTTAATGGAGAAAGGATTTTCATCTAATGAAAAAAATGATATCTTGATATGTAATGATAACACTGGTAATAGAGGGAATCTGTTTTCTTGTCAAAAAGAAGATTTGGAAAAGCCCGTCAATTCTTGTACTTATATCCCTCTTTTTATACTTTTCTTTTGAATACACCGCGTCGATACTATGTTATGTGTTTGATTTGGCACAACGTTTAAGAAATTTTTTTTTTTAAAATTTATAGTCTAAAGTTTTAGATACTTTATGACTACAAATTATCTCATTAAAAGTAAAATAAGAATTTTACGGTTAAATTACTTTTAAATATAGAAATATATTTTTTTGTGACAAATTAAAAAGAAAAGTGTGTCACATAAAATGAGACATAACGTAAATTCATCTTTTGCAAGGGGCTCAAACTGCAAAGGCAATTTCATCCTCTAACCTTCTTTAAAACAAATACCATGCGACTATATTAAATGAATAATGAGCTATAAACCACTGCCCTTACCCTCTGGTTCTTCTCTATTTTTTTTTTTAAATTAAAGTAGCTGTAAATATGTATTTTTCCACTAGGACGTGACGAAGAACCACGTATATCATCACTCCTCAACCATTAAAGTGGACTATACTCGTTTAAAATAATCCCACACCTAATCAATAATTCAGGGGTTTAAGTAACCGGGAAATTCAAACTTTAAGGTTTCAATCCATTATATTTTTAAAGTTATGAGTTAATATTTACTATTTCTTATAATTTTAGTGAACTTCTACATGCATTAGATTCAGATAAACCTGAGTGTTTTCAAGGTGCATCCGCCCCTGCCTTCGGGAAAGTTAGTTTTGGAATAACAGTTTATTTAATTACTATAAAAGGTAGTAACATATAAGATGTAATAAAAAATTTACAGTCACTTATATAGGGCAGGACTATACTTGATGATAAAATTGATGGCAAATTAAAAAAATATGAAGGAAAGAGGAGAAAATGAATTAAACATACCGATCTCATAGACAAAGGAAGAGAGGCCGGAGCAACCAGGACCTCCGGTGAGCCAAAGCATAAGAGGGTCATTTTCTGGGTCTCTTTCTGACTCAACGAAGTAGTAATATAGCTGCACTTTTTCCTCTTCTCCAACACCTACATAACTGAATCAACATACCAATTATAACTATAGGGGAGGCTGCTGGGTTTGGGTTATCAGAAAATATGAAAATTAATAGTACTTGCCCAGTTTCGAGTTTGAAAGGAAGTTTTCCCTGGAAGCCTGGTAGATTTTCAACAATGAAGTGGGAAAAGACTACATAAGGAAGAAGTAACAGCAGTGGAAAAACAATGAGACGCAGCAGCGATAGCATTGGAGATTCAGATGACAATTGAAGATAGCTACGAATTCAGAAAATAAGGAAACTAAACAATGCTTTTTTAATTTGGGAAAGTTATGAAAAACGAACAGCGCTCAGTGGCAGATGTCCGAAAAACTATTGCAAAATAGGACAATGGTGATGACACATGTGGGGTCCAACGTGAATACTTTTTTTTTTTATGTATATATAAATAAATAATACTAGCATGCACAGATGGTAGGTTTACACGAATAAAAAAATTGTGTATATAAAAGAAGCTGCATTTTCCTTATTTTTAATTAAGTTTTAAGAATATAGTATTAAATCTTGTATTATTGCCAGTAAAGTTGTTGTCAACTGATCAGTAGATCATGGGTTCGAGCCATGAAAATAGTCTCTAGTTAGATAGGGGCGTATTTAGGGGGATTCCATTGGGCACGTGAACACATGCTCTCCTCCCTAAATCATGTATAATAATGTTATATTTTCTCAATATATATATATATATATATATATATATATGCATCCATACACAAAATATTATATGACGTGATGGTTATTGGGTCTATCTCTCTAAGTGAGGTTGTGAGTTCAAATCTTATGTCAATCTTATTATTCTTTTCTTTTTTTAAAACTAGACGCCCATGGGAGATGGACACGTGCGGTGTCACCTTTTGTGTATTAATTAAGTAATTTTGCTTTTTATTTGTTTTTTTGTTTGAATTATTCTTTCAAAATTTTCAAACATTGAAATTCCTATTCTTCTTTTCTCACTGTATTATTTTTGGTAATTATATTTTCCATTAATCACCAATAAAATCTTTACAAAACAGTAGAGTCATCCTCGACTCACTTAATCTTTACACATATTCTAACTCTATCCTATACTATGAGCAGTACATAAGAACACTATACAAGAAGATGGTTAGTTACTATACTGTTTTCAAAATATAAGTTGCTGCATTTGTGCCCTCATTCCTCCTTGAACTCTAATATTGCAAACACATGCCACTTCTCTTGCTATTTGATCTGCAGTCCTCGTTGTCTCTTCAAATATTCTACTGTTTCTCTCCCTCCATATCCCATAGATATGTTCTGCATATACCATTTTTAATATTTTGGCCTTACACAATTTCCCCTTAGCTTGTGTTATTACCCATGCAATCATCTGTGTATAAGATTGCATTGGATTCACATGAATTCGTATCCATTGCATAAGCCTTTCCCATACTAATTTAGTGAAACTGCATCCACCAAACAGATGTACATGTGATTCATCTGCTCCATTGCATAAACATCATCTTGGACTTACTTGAATTCCCCAGTTTGCAAGCCTATTTGTTGCCAGCAGTCTCCCATGACATTGCATCCACATAATGAATATTGCCTTGGGTCTAGCTTTATTATGGAACATTAAGGTTCTCCATGCCACCTTGTTGTAGCTTCCCAGAATGCCTAAGTATATTTGCTTGGTACTACTCTGCATGTATTGTACTGTAGGCATTTGCTGAATCACCTCTCTTGCCTCCATGATCTTTCTCACCATCCAACTTGCTTGTTGGGGTATATTCATCTCCACTATGCTTTGCCCTTTTATGTAGTATGTGTGGATCCATTTTATCCACATTTTGTCTTTCTTCTATGCCAGATCCCAATATACATTAGTGATAGCAGTTCTATTCCAAACTCTGGTATTCAACAGATTGTACCCTCCACTATGCTTTGCCCTTTTATGTAGTATGTGTGGATCCATTTTATCCTTATTTTATGCCAGATCTCAATATACATTAGTGATAGCAGTTCTATTCCAAACTCTGGTATTCAGCAGATTGTACCCTCCAGCAGATTTAGGCAAACACATTTTATCCCATGCTATCAAAGCTCTCTTTGTAATTGTATTAGAGCCAGACCATATATAGCTTCTGCAATATGACTCTATTAGTTTCATCACTTTAGCTGGTAGAATAAATATTTGGGACCAATAAGATTGGATACCAAATATCACTGTTTGGACTAACTGTACCCTTCCAGCATAAGATAATTTTCGAGCTGTCTAAGAGGAAATCCTTGCAACGATTCTATCAATCAGTGGTTGCCATTGCATAGCTGATAACTTCTTTGTGTCCAATGGGATGCCCAGATATTTGAAAGGTAACTCCCCAAGTGAGTATCCAGTATTCTGTAAAATTTCATGTCTAGTATCCTAAGCAACTCCTCCAAAATAGATTGCACTCTTAATGGGATTAGCTAACAGTCCAGATGCAGCAGAGAACTGCATAAAACAAGCATGTAGAGTGGAGACTGACTTACTATCACCCCTAGCAAATATCAGTAGGTCATCTGCAAAGCTGAGGTGAGTTATATCTAGCTTACCACATCTAGGGTGAAACCTATATTCTTTAGCATGTTTCAACCCTTTGAGCAGCTTGCTTAGGTATTCCATTGCAATTGCAAATAGAAATGGTGATATGGGATCACCCTGTCTGAGTCCTTTAGCAGCTTCAAAAGGTTTTGTCAGCTCCCCATTTATCATGATTGAATAACTCACTGATGACACACAAGCTCTCACCCAGTTATTGAATTTTGTTGGGAAGCATAGATATTCTAAAAATTGTTCCAAATACACCCATTCAACTGAGTCATATGCTTCATCATGTCAACCTTCATCATACATCTAGGGGAGATATGTTTCCTGCTATAGGCCTTAACTAGCTCATGAGCAAGAATGATATTGTCTGCTATTTTCCTCCCTGGGATAAATCCTACTTGGGCTTCATATATGATGTATGGCATGATCTTCTGTAATCTACCAGCTATGACTTTAGAGATAAGCTTGTATAACACAGTGCAACAAGCAATAGGCCTGAAATCCTTAATTGTCACTGGATTAGGAACTTTTGGCAGCAAAGTGATAGTAGTGCAGTTGATTGCTGGAAACATCACCCCTGTGTGAAAAAATTCTTTCATTGCAGCATACACCTCTTCTTTGATCATTGTCCATGCTTTCTTGAAGAATTCTGCATTATACCCATCTATGCCTGGTGCTTTATCACTTCCTATTCCCTTCAGAGCTTTATCTATCTCTTGTCTAGTAACTTCAGCAATCAGGTCTTCTTCTTGTTGCTGTGTTAAAGTTGGCCCTTCCCTCATTACCATCTTGTCCACAGCTGAAAGTATATGTGCACTAGTTCCCATTAAGCTTTTTTAGAAGGATATAATCTCCTCCTTTATAGCTGCATGTTCTGTTATGGTACTTCCTGACAATGTTTGTAATTCCACAATTTGTTTTCTCTGCTGCCTCTCCTTTAATATTGTAGAAAAGAACTTATTATTGGCATCACCCAACTTGATCCAGTTTGCTCTTGCTTTTTGTTGTAGTATCTTCTCTTCCACCATTGACCATGTTTCCAGCTTTTGCAACCATTCTTTCTCTTGAGCTTGCAGCAGGTCACTATAGCTATTTTGCATCTGGCTTTGTATGTGATGAATGGTTTGTCTTGATTGATATATCTTCTCAGCTATTCTTTTGAACTCAGCTTCATTGAGTTGTCTAAATTGCCTTTTCATCCTTTTAAGCTTGGCCCAAATACTCTCCATCTTCCCTGTTACTTTGTTGCTGCTCCATTCCTCCCTTGCTATTATTTCAAAATCAGGATGGCTTGCCCATACATTGAAGAATCTAAATGGGCTCTTGGTAAGCTTCCTAGGTTGCCTTATGTTGATGGACATGGGACTATGATCTGAAATATAAGGCTCCCCATACTCAGTGCTCAGATGAGTGTAGTTCATCATCCATACATCATTACCAAACATCCTATATATACGACTCCACACCCTATCATCACCCTGCTGCTTGTTAGTCCATGTGAAATAATCCCCTCTCCATGGTAACTCTGCAATACCAATGTCATGGCATAGCTCAGCAAGGTCCTTTATATCAGTACTTTTCACAGGCACTTTAGAGATTCTATCTTGGACATTGAGAATAGCATTGAAGTAACCAAGGTCCTGTAGTATTCTATGCTAATCTTTTATTGTGCTCCCATAGATTTCTTCTTTGATCTGCATCATTATGACCATACACCACTGTGATATAGCAATACATCCCATTCTACTTCCCAGTTATTAGGCAATGAATGAATTGATCTTGTTTGTCTAATGGTTGTACTGTATATACTTGCTCATCCTATATAATCCATACCCTTCCATTCACAGCATACTCATAATTTGTCATCCTATTCCAAACAGGGACTATTCTACTAATCACCTTCCCTGCTTTTTCTTCTTTCACCTTTGTTTCAACTAACCCAACCAGCTTGATGTGTTTATCTTTTATGTACTGCTTTATTTCTTTTTGTTTATATCTCTTATTCAGTCCCCTAATATTTCAAATTATCCAAGTCATTGGTGAATGATTACTCCACCTCCCAAATCAGGTGTCCTAGTTTCCTCCATTCTTTCCTCTTCATGTTGCAATATCTGAAAGACATTTTTTGTAGTTATTGCTGTAGTTCCCAGTGTTAGTCTGCTATTGCTAACCAGAGTTGGCCACTCCTCTCTTTGGTCAACATATTGCATTTCTTTTGCTTTTCCTTTATCCTTTGTTACTTGTGGATTTCCAACACTTTCAGTGATTGTAACTGCTTTATCATTATCCTGCCTCATTGTTTTGCTTGCTCCCTCATTTAGCTCTGTTTGTTGTTGTTGTCCTTGTCCTTTAACTTGCCACTTTGTGGTAATTTTCCCCTGCTTCTGTCTTCCTTTGTACTGATCTTCTTTGTTCACTTTCTTCTCCAATGTACAGTCATGTCCTATCTTCATGCAGTTTATACAATATTGGGGTTTCCATTCATACTCCACCTGCAGCTGAATCTTTTTCCCTGATGGTTCTTGCAATGTCAATTCCGTTGGAAGCTTTTTTGTCACGTTAGCTTCCACCAAGATCTTAGCATATGAGATACCTGTCTGTTTAGTGGTACATTCATCAGCAAAGAGTGGCTTTCCAATATCACTTGCTAGTTTGCTCAATGTCTTGTTACCCCAATAACTCATAAGAAAATTAGGAATAGTGATCCACAAAGGAATCTCTATCAGGAACTCTACCTTAATGTCGAAAT